TATCAAAACAATGCAGCCACAATTCATTAAAATTTTTCTGGTTTTTCACAAATGCGTTTCTTTAATTTCTAAAAAAAAAGCGAATTTTCCACTTACTACAAAAGGTTTGAGGATTGAAGTTGTACATCGGAGAATGCCTACGGTTGTTCTAGACATAGCCATTGTCTGATCTGAAGGAAGCTACAACTTCCAGTCAACTACGTTTCAGCAGAAACGCTTCTACTAAAGAGATAGAAAATTATCAAGTTGAAGTGAGGTAATAAAACGTGAATATGTGGTCGACTTTTGGTCTCTTGAATGTTACTCTGTAGAAGTAATGTCGCCACCTAATTCTGGTTGTTTGATCTTCACTGTTGTGGCGAAACTGCCAACTAAGTTGAATTGTCTTGCTTAGGATAACAAAACTCACAGCTTGAGAAACAGTTAGCTGTTTTGTGACAAAAGCGCATGTTTAGGTTTTTTATCAATTAGCACGTTATTTTTATGCAATAGCTGTGAAAAATGTTGAAAAAAAAATGAAAAAAAAAAATGAAAAAAAAGTCATTTTCTCAGTTTTTCTGTTCAGTTTTTTACATCTAGGCTAAGGTGCTGATGATTACAGAAACCTTAAACAATTTTTAGATGACGATTGAAGGAATTTGACAGCTGACAGGGGACATCACAAAATGTAACAGCAGGAGAGAAAAAAAAGTTGTTGCGCCTCAAGGCACTGAAATCTGTTGAAATGAAGGAATCAAACTTTAATTTTGTTAGCGTACGTAAACTGACAATTTTTTATTACTTCATCAAACTGAGTGCAGCTGAAACGGAAGTGAAAGAGAGGAATTTACCTGGTATGTTATTTTTTTGAACTTCCTTTCAAAGAATTAGTTTTTTTACCAAAGAAATCGTTTAGATGTAGCAGATCAAATTCAGCTGCTTAAGGGAAGGAGGGATATTCAGGGACTGCGAGGACTGGCTATAATTTATGTGCTTATTTTCCACCTGTACCCTGAAACATTTCCATTTGATTTTCTTAACATTGATATATTTTTCATTATTTCTGGATAATTGATAACGATGATTTTGTGGAGAGAGCAACTGTTTAAAGCGACAGTTTTTCTTTTTTTTTTTCACGAAAAACGCATAAAGAGGATATTTTCAGCTTATCACTCAATGCTCACTTTCGAATTTGCTGCTCGATCATCACCTTTGTCTGCCGATTAGTTAAGGCTATAAATCGGCACGAACTGGGCTTGTGGTATTGCTACAAGCGTGCATAAGCACCTGCAGGATCTTGACTATTGCGCAGAGATGACATTCGTGGTTGCTTCACTAAAATCTTTTTTGGCTTTTAATAAAGCATTGTAATTTAAAAATAAGCTACAATGGTCATGGATTGAAATCTGCACAAATGGCAACATTGCAGATAAACAACTACGACTTCTTTCTTCATACTTGGTCTCTTGCTGTTGAAATACAATTCTATCTTATTACTCCGGTGCTAGTCAAACTTTTCTCAGTGCCATTTGGAAGAAAAATTTTTTGCTGCATAGCTTTTATCGCTGCTGTATACTGCAACTTTGTTACCTCTATAATTTTCCAATTTTTTTCTCTTCCCATTCGGATATGGCAGCTCATGAGTGGAATCAACTCGGATCAACTGCCGCATCTCGAAGGGTTGGTTCCCCGCAGGTTTGCTAAGCTTCTCTTCATCCTCTCAGTCCTCT